AATCCAGATCCAATTCAATCCGGATCCAAATCCTATTCTGATCTAAATCCAATCCAGATCCAACATGGATCCGCCGAGATGGATCCAAGATGGATCCAAGATGATGAGAGACGATGTGACAACCAATCAGATTTCGTGGATTTGCCTTGAACCACGACGAGTGCCTACTAGATTAGTTAACCGCTGTTCACTCTGATCGCTGTAACAGACGTCGTTTTGCCATCCTCTCAGTTGCCGGCGACTGGTATGGAGTCTGTTACACAGGCTATTCAAACATTCGAGGGCTACATCTTCGTCAGAACAAGCATTTGTTAACAATTCTTCAAGCAAAAAAAAAAACAGAAAAATGGATAAAAGGTATTGATACCAGTATACAAAACTCGAGCCAACCAACCAACTATAACCAACCTGTCACACTGGGCTCCACCCACACCTGGTAAACATGCACATTCTCCGGTGATTGCGTTTACACGACGGGCTGATTGAACCACCTGCGTTACACGAGCAACCTGTAAAAAATCATCAAAGCGAGAGTGCGTGACACAAACGTTTTCTACAAATTATTCGAATTATCATTTACTGGCCAAAATGAAGGTAAGACTAAAAGCTTAATCAACGCAAAACAAGAGAAAAGAGTTAAAAAAAAGTATGTGATAGGTAACTACCCCTCCACCAAACGTAGTCGGCAGGATTCGAACCTGCGCGGGGAGACCCCAATGGATTTCTAGTCCATCGCCTTAACCACTCGGCCACGACTACCTTGATGACTCAAAGCCGAGCAGAAGGACACAAGAGGCGGTGATGAAGAGTTAACCAAGGCCATGAAACGAGGAGTAATATGTAGATCAGATCGCTCTTTACAACTAATTGTACCTTTTTTTGTTTATTGAAATACTAAAACATGAAGTTGGATTCTAAATTAAGACAAAAATGTTTAAAGTCAGCCTCAATCAAAGGGACACAGTGGAAACGCGCCGAGGATCAAAAGCTCGCTTTGTTCAAGAGATGATTATACACAAGATGGAACAAGTTAATTCCATACGATGTAAGTACTGTTATTAACATCACCCAGAGGTCTATAACTAGTTACAGTCTTCTGCATCAACCGATTACAAACAGTTAGATCTCAAATACATTAATCCAATACTCGTCAGTAGCAGAGTGGCGCAGTGAAAGCGTACTGCCGGGCCCATAACCCAGAGGTCCGAGGATCAAAACCTCGCTCTGCTATTCAATTTTTTTCTGACTTATAGAAGAGCTTAATTAAATGGTTTACTTTGGCAGGAAACTAGAAACTAGCGTGCAGCTTCAATAGCTATTAATTAAGCCGAGTTGCCTTCTGCCTCTGTTTCAAAACGAACTTTGATGTCAATCAGAACTCGGGAAGCAAAAGCATGCAACCGGCGCAAGCGCGGGAAACGCCGCAGGAAGCCAGTTTTTGCCTCCTGATTGGTTGAAAATACGAGCGTGTTTGCTGTGATCGGCTCAAACAAGCAAAGCTGTCATAAGCGAACTCATAAGTATACTTTGCGCAAAGTGAGATCGCGAAAACCTCTCTAAGTACTAGTACTCGCTATATGTAAGAAAATATAACCATTTTAACGATAAAAAATGGAATTTCCTGAATTTTCTCCTGAAATTTACAGGATGTAAACTGTGCGAAAACACCCTAAGAGTGACATAAGAAATGTAGCTGAAGATTTTAAAACAAAATCAAGTGTGATAAATTGTTATTCTCTTCGCGGTTTTCTATCTCACCAAACAGATTGGAAAAGTGTGTGTATTATCAAAATAACGAGCCTCTAGTCTTCGTAGTCGGCAGGAATTCGAACCTGCGCGGGAGGACCCCAATGGATTTCTAGTTCCATCGCCTTAACCACTCGGCCACGACTACCTTGATTACTCAAAGCCGAGGCAGAAGGACTCAAGAGGCGGTGACGGAGAGTTATCCAAGGCCATGGAAACGAGGCAGAATATGTAGGATGCAGATCCCTCTTGTACAACTCATTGTACCTTTTTTGTTTATTGAAATACTAAACCATTATAGTTGGAATTCTGTGAATGTAAGAGCACAGACAAAAATGTTAAAAGTCAGCCCTCAAGCAGAGGGGCACAGTGGAAACGCGCAGAGGATCAAAAGCTCGCCTTGTCCCAAGAGATGATTATATACAAGATGGAACAAAGTTAATTCCACTGATACGATGTAAGTACCCTCACCCAGATCGAGCTCCTGCATCAACCGATGACAATGCAGTTAAATCTCAAATACATTATAAGGCTATACTCATCAGTAGGCGGAGTGGCTCAGTGGAAGCGGTGCTGGGCCCATAACCCAGAGGTCCGAGGAGCAAAACCTCGCTCTGCTAAATGTTTCCATTCCTTTTGCGGTTGGTGGACAGCATATGCCTTTTAGCATTATTATTTTTAGATTCATCTTTTTGTAAACTGGTCTGTTATGTTATAGTCCATCTCCGGAATGGCCTTTTAGAGGTCGTTCGTTTCAAAGATTATAACAGTTGGCAAAACCGTTCGTATGTTATGAAAGGTTTGGAAGACGTGATTTAATTTGGTATCAGACCTCTCTGGAAAAGTAAAATTCATTTTTTCAAACGCAGCTAATTCTGGCCGAACGAGATCTCGAAAAGAAACATACATTTTTAATAGATATCACGAAAGGCAAGTCTAACGGTTTTTATCGATGCGATATGAAATCATTTATATTAGTCCTCTTTCTCGTAGAGTGAGTGGCGCAGTTGGAAGAGTGCTGGGGGCCCCTAACCCAGAGTCCGAGAATCAAAACCTCGCTCTGCTATTGATTTTTTTTCTGCCTTATAGAAGTTTCTAATTAAATTTTTACTTCTTATTTCCCATCTGGACAGAAACTATCGTGAGCTCAATGAGGAGGCTAACTCGGAAATGGCCTATTTGATGCCTAGAATCAGAAGTCGGGAAGGCAAAAGCGGCGCGAAACGCCCGGGCAAGCCAGGTTTTTGCTCCTGATTGGATTGAAAATAGAGCACGTTTGCTGTGATTGGCTCAAACGCAAAGCTCCAGAGCGAACTCATAAGTATACTTTCCACAATGAACCGAAAACCTCTCTAAGTACTAGTACTGCTAAATGTAAGAAAATATAACCATTTAAGCGATAAAAATGGAATTTCATGAATTTCTCCTGAATTTACAGGATGTAAACTGTGCGAAAACACCCTAAGAGTGACATAAAATGTAGCTGAGATTTAAAACAAAAATCAAGTGTGATTAATTGTTATTCTCTTCTCGGGTTTTCTATCTCACCAAACAGATTGGAGAAAGTGTGTGTATTATCAAAATAACGAGCCTCTAGTCTTCGTAGTCGGGCAGGATTCGAACCTGCGCGGGGAGACCCACAATGGATTTCCCTAGTCCGATCGCTCTTTAACCACTCGGCCACGACTACCTTAGATTACGTTCAAAAGCCGAGCATAAGGACTCATAGAGGCGGTGACGAAGAGTTAACCAAGGCCATGGAATACGAGCAGTATCTGTAGATCAGATCGCTCTTTACAACTCATTCTACCTTTTTTGTTTATTGAAATACTCAAAACATATAGTTGGATTTCTAAATGTAAGAGCACAGACAAAAATGTTAAAAGTCAGCCTCAAAGCAGTAGGGGCAACGAGTTGGAAACGCGTGCAGAGGATCAAAAGCTCGCCTTGTCCAAGAAGATGATTATATAACAAGATGGAACAAGTTCTTCCACTGAAACGATGTAATTACGCATCACCCAGATCGAGCTCTGCATCAACCGATGACACGCAGTTAAATCTCAAATACATTAAGGCTAATAACTCATCAGTAGCAGAGTGGCCGCAGTGGAAGCGTGCTGGGCCCATAACCCAGGGTCCTAGGATCAAAACCTCGCTCTGCTATTGATTATTTTTTTCTGACTTATAGAAGGTTCTATTAAAATTTTTACTTCTTTATTTGCTCGGGAAACAGAAACTAGCGTGAGCTCGAAAACTCATTTCCAAGTTGCCTTTTGCCTCTGTTTCAAAACGCGTTCCGGTGCAAAACCTTTTCATATGAAAATGAATTTGATTTGCATTTGAATGAACTTGTGAGTAAAACTCATTTTCATATGAAATGTTATGCTACTTGGACTCGTTTTGAAACAGAGGCAGAAGGTAACGCAAAATAATGGCAACCGGCACCAAAGCGCGCGAACCGCCGCAAGCCAGTTGTGCTGCTGATTGGTTGAAAATACAGCACGTTTGCTGTGATGGTTGGCTCAAACGCAAAGCCACACGCGAACTCATAAGTATACTTTCCTAAAATGAATCGAAACCTCTCTAAGTTACTAGTACTGCAAATGTAAGAAAATATAACCTTTAAAACGACTTTACAGGATGTAAACCGTGTCGAAAACACCTCGTGAGGGCGACATTAATTTTAGATTGGGAATGTTTTGAAAAAAAATAGTTTATTCTCTTCGCGGTTTTCATATCTCACCAAACAGATTGGGCAAAGTGTGTATTATCAAAATAAGGAGCCTCTAGTCTTCGTCGTCGGCATGATTCGAACCTGCGCGGAGATACCTCGCTAATGATTTTCTAGTCCACGACTACTTCTTACACTAATACACCACCTTTACTGATAAGTTTTCAATCATATCTTACTTGTTTTTCGGTTATTTATGTTTACCTCAAACTTATGCATTGACCAGGGAATTCAAAAATCCGATTGGGATTCTAAGTATTTAAAAATAACTTGAAACATGTTAAGTCAGTGCAGTGACACAAGCTAACTCTAGAAGAAAACAATTTGCGAGTTCTTCCAACAGAAGTCGAACGCTTCCGCGCATGTCGTTGGGAAGTAGCTTGTGTCACTTCCACTGACTGATTAAACGTCTTTCTCATTTATTTCCCAAAATAAATTTGTTCGTGAATTTGCGCTATATACTCACGTTATTGCATCCAAATACGATTTGGGCCTGTCAGACTGTAAGTAGCGTCCCTTGTGCAACCCCCCAACCGTCCACCAACTGCGCGACCAGTCACGTGACTCTTGCATAAGAAAAAAAAAAAAAAAAAAGCCATTGTCCAGTCCCCCCTTCCCCCCTTCGTCGCTATGGGGGGTTTTGATCGATCCCATAGTTCCGTTGATGTTGCAGTCGCATGACTGACAACCCACTGGGTTATTTATTTGGATGAATTTATAGTGTATTTTTGATGCCATTGCAGCTTGTCACAATCGTCACGCCACCACGTTTATCTTTGCACCTGCAGCGAGTCTAAGGAAATGAAGAACAGTGGACACGTAGAGTCTTCAACTTACCAAGGAAGCCTCTTCCGTACACAGCCGTTGTTGGGTTCGTCACGCAACGCTTCTCCAAAAATAAACGGCTGCGTACGGAGACTGGGAAACACGCTGAAGTTGACAGACTAGCATCTCCTTTTAAGCCTGGTTTTCACGTAAGCCATAAGCGCAAGCATAAGAGTCCATGACAAAAACTGGCAACGCAAACGTACTCGCGCTTGCCGTGCTCAGTGTTTATAATGGGCGCTCCATTGCTTGCCTTTAGCTTGCGTCGCTTGTTGAAAACCAAGCCTTTACGGAGCCGGACCGTTGTGTGCCATTGGCCATGTGTGGCGAATGAGCTCATCCTGAACCCTCCACTAAAGCACTACTTTAGTGGCGCCCATAGGACAGCGTAGGAAAGCGCCGGAGAGGCAAGATGCCGCAGGTCGCGTGAAATGGCATCACGCATCTAGTAGGCTGCGGACAGGTATCGATGATGGAGGAAGTGCGAAAACCTTAAGGCGGCGGAACTAGATGAAATGGAGGAGTGCGCTTGCACTATTGGCATCATGATGGTATAGTTTGTCAAAGAGGAGGACTCCACTAACACAGTAGTGTTCGCAAAGCCGTCTAAAAAATTTATCAAGTCTTTTAATCCTTCTGTTTAATCCCTCTCTTCATTCACAAATTTGAATTTGCAAGTGTACGTTATCCGCAATCCTGTAGCATGGTTAGTTAGACTGCAAAACAATCTCGCATTTTTCTCTCCTAAAGAAATTTTCTTTCGATGCGTGACGCGAGAATTTGGAGGCGCGAAGTGTCGATAAGCGTTGCGCGTGGAGCCATCGCAATTTACACGCTCGTTCCCTGATGCAAATTACAGAAAATATAATGGAAAGTGGCCAAGGAGAATCCCCCGTTCGATGCTGAATATGAATTCTTACATTGTTGACCGAGATCCACAGCCTGTTTCTCCGCGGTAGCAATTTGATTCCCGCTGGGTTACAGTCACACGGGCCTTAGACAGCTTGGAAAATCGTAGCAAACCGATCCTGCATACATTGCACTTCTGGCCTTGGAAATTCCTCCTGCATGGCACTGGCCATCTCTTGAACGGCAAAACGTGCTTAGAGAACCAAGATTGTTACAGGCGCAGGCTATAGGACAGAAAAGGATACACTATTAAAGAATATTGAGTTTAACATGTAAAGTATTACATTCATAGCACCAGAACATGGTTAAAAGAGGGAAATGGTTATGAAGCCCGGAAAACTTCAAAGGAGCAAACAAAGATGGCAAGACGTAGGTTTGAAGGTTTACGACCGTGCACAATCTTTTGTTTTGCGCTCATACACTATGCATGAATTACGTAACTGAAATGTTTCTATTGGTTAGTTTGCTTGAACACACGTAAACACCTATTGCATTTTGTCAGGTTTTGTGCACGGTCAAGGCCAAAACTGAGCGAACAAAAAGATATAACAGAGAACTTTCCCGGGCTTCATAACCATTTCGCTCTATTAACTATGACCAGAACAATCTTCTATCAAGTGATCGCGAGAACTTACTCTTAGCATTCTGGGAATCCATAATAACTAGACGATACACATCTATCGCACTTGTATCCTCCAAATCCAGGCTTACAGCGACACCGTCCGTTTGAATGTACAAGAGAGGGAAACAGATCCCACTTCATGACAACCACAACCTGGGAAATAGAGGGGACATGAACACACAGTTAAATATAAACTCATTTTTATCCCTCATCCTCAGTTTTCTCCGCCGTTTCTCCCTCCTTCCTTCTTTTTAGGCCGTCTCTCTCTCTCCTCCTCCGTACTTTTATCGGACGTTTCACCCTCCTCCTCGCTTATTTTTTCGGCCGTCTCTTCCTCCTCCCTACATTTTCGGCCGTTTTTAAAAACGGCCGAAAATGTAATGTAAAATGTAATGGAGGAGGGAAATTTCCCTCCTCCCTAAATGGTTCCTCTCTCCTCAAAATAACACAATTAAAGCCTGTAAGCCTTTGAGAAGGCCGAAAGTATTTTGACTGAGAGTGGTCTAGTAAGTGGGAGGGTCAATACATGGGCACGGGGCATATAAAGAAGGGTAACCAAGTGAAGAACGCCAGTAATATCGTAGAGCGATAGGCAAAAAAGTAAATATCGGCTTTTTGCCTGTATTCTATATCCATCTTTATCTTGTATTTTATAAAACAGGAATGAGAACTACAATCAGGGAAGCAAGTAATCCGTTTCGGTCAAAATCTCTTCTCCGAGAATTGACTGAGCCCGCGGTTTTCGACAGAGAAGTTGCTAAGCAACATGACGTATCCTTATGGGGCCATGCTGACGTGAGAGCTCTCGGAATTCTTACGAGTGTTTGCGCTTTTTTTGATTGGATAACAAGAATCGGAGACTGGTCGACAGCTTTTACAAGGACTTGATTCGCCAAAGATATCCCTCGTTGCTGATACATCTACCGAGCTACAATCCTACCCAATAAATTTGGGACACTGTAAATTTTGCCTGAAAATCGATTGTATGTGTTATCCCTCCCACCTGCTGCAATGTTGCGCATGCACTATGTCAAATTTAAACGATGGTTTCTGAGATTCAACATTGTATGGGAGGAAAGGGGGAATCAATGGGGAAGTTTTATTTTTTAAGCCCCTATTTATCGCTAGATTTGAACGAACTAAGCGAAAATAGTCCAAAATGAGAAGTGTCCCAAAACATTATGTCCAGTATTGTAGATCCGTTTATTTGATAGCACTTACGTCGGCAGCGTGGGAATCCAGAGTGACCAAGCTTGCATCTGTCACATCTTCTGCCGACCACATAAGTTGACCGACACAGGCACTGCCCACCAAACTCATCACAGAAAGTGGATCTAGAACCCAGTACATTGCACGCTGCAGTTCAAAGGTCCTGCATTGAACCGAATCGTCAGAGAAAACACGTCTTCTCGGTACTGCCGTCCGCGAGCTGGATTGACATAGAAATGATCCTTGCCACAGTTTTGTAAGAATTGAGTGACTCTGTCGTTGGACTGTAGTTCTAAAGAGGCCCGTGGAGTAGGAGGACTTAGGAACGAGGAGTATATAAGACTGTAAAAGAAATGCGAAAGGACAATTAACAATTATTATCCAGCTCCGCTCA